ATGTGTTTCTATGTTGTATGCATACATACATGTATGTATACATGTAGTAAATGTTTACAACATAAATCTAAAATATAGTGTGCAATCAGTAAACAAGAATTTTAACTATCTGCTATATGCCAGGAAATGTGCAAAGTGTTGGGGATACAAAGAAAGGCAAAAGACAGTCTATGCCCTTGAGGAACTCACATATGCTTTGAAGCATATATGTATATGTACATTTACATTGTATATCTCTATCCCCATATCCATCTATAGCTTTCTCTATCAGTCTATATTATATACACATAGGTTTCAAAGGTGATGGTGGTGACAATGTTATTATACAATACACACATGGGTTTCAAAAGTGATGGTAGTGATAATGTCTAGAGGTTTAGCCCCTTTGCTAAAACTGCCAGAAAGCTGTTGTTATTGTGTTTTACCAAAAATAACTTGTGAACTGCACAGATGGTTAAATAACTTACAGTATATTTCAACCATTCCTTACTTGGGAGAAGAAAATGAGAAATGAATAGATTTTGAATAGCAGTATGAATCCTAAGGATTTTTTAAACTGATCACAAGGATACTATTATCATTGTAGACAATGTTATATGCATATATAAGGATTTTCTTAAGATTCTTCTACTATGCTGGGAGAAATGGAAGTAAGGTCCCTGACATAAGTTTGCTGTAGTAAAAGATAAGATTCTCTCAACAGAGAGTTTAGAGGGCAATAACTCAATTAGGGAGCAACAGGAGAAAGCCCTGTAAAGGTTTTAACACTGGGATTACAAGCAAATTGCTGAGAGCCTGTGGCCAGGCATCTGCATCTTTTAAATTCTAAGATGTGTCCTGGTGAGAGGCAGCAAAAGTTCCTTGAGAGCAAAAAAGGCAAGGTTTATACAATTACCTATTGATAAACAAGTTTTAGCCAGGAAAGCTCATGGTTTCATGACATGCAAATCTTGGTTTATATTGTGTCTCCTCTTTGGTAGATTTTTTTTTTATAGTAAGTAACAAATGCCTTAAAATATGCTTTAAAATAAAATTACATGTTATAGAAAAATAAATTTTCAATAAAATGGCATAATCCTTTACTACAAGAATGTACCTTCAATCATGGAAGATATGGAAAAAATCCTGGACTTATGAACCAAAAATTTTGGATATTAATTCTATCTCTGCAGTGTGTCACCATGACCTGGGAAAAAATAATCACTTAATCTCTTTAAGCCTCAGTTTCTTCATCTATAAAATGGAGATAATGATATGCTGCTTACTTCATTGGGATTTTTTTCTCTCCTAAGGTTTGGATCATACAAGGAAGCTAGGTGATACAAGTAGATAGAATGGTGGGCCTGGAGTCAGGAAGACCTGAGTTCAAATCTATCCTCAGGTACTTTCTAGCCATGTGATCAAGTCATTTAACTTCTCTTTGCCGCAGTTTCCTCCACTATAAAATGGGGACAACAGCAACACTTACCTCTCAGGATTGTTGTGAAAATCCAATGGCATAATATTTGTAAAGTTAATATAGCACATAATGCTAACATTAATGATGGCACATAGTAGGTGCTACATAAATGCTTATTCCCTTCCTCTGTTATTTCTTCACATTCTAGAACAAGTGATTTCTGGAGTTATCAAGCACAACTTCCTGATTTTATAGATGAGGTCACTCAGCCCTAGAGAGAATAGGTCACTTTCCCAAGGTCCTACAAGTAATAATAATCAGGAGTGGAATTTGAACCTAGGGACTCTGATTTCAGAGCCAGTTTGCTTTCTAGTATAACGTGCAATAAGGTCGTGTATTTTAAAATGTTTTTTATTGAATGGCTTTAGAATAGAAGTGTGGATCCTAAGGCAGTTTTTTTTTCCTGATATAGCAAAGGCACTACAATGATAGCAGTCTCTATTGGTTTGAGAAGGAAATAGGGCAAAATAGGTATCAATTCCACTTGAAGTAGAAAGTAGCTGGCCTTAGTCTCTCACTTGAAGAAACATGTGACTGTAGGTATTTAAATTGTTTTCCAGGAAATCCCAAATTGAAGCTAAGGAACCAAGCTAAGCAAGTAAGAGTGAGCCATTTGATGTCTGCTCACAGACAAACAGGGCAACTTTGTTTTCCTTTGGTTTTCTGCAGGCTCACTTGGGTGGTAATAACACTCAAATAAAAAAGAATCGATGTGTCTACTCACTTTACACCAAAAAGTCGGTTAGTTTGAAGATGGCAGGGGTTATAACAGGAGAGGGCATATACAAGGCTCCTCTCTCTTTGCCTCAGTGTCAAGGAGATCATCAATGGCAATTTAAAATAGTTCCAGAATCATATTGCCTTGTTATTTACCTCATTCAACCACTCATTCAAAAACATTAAGTGCTTATTATTTAACAGGCTGTGTGTTAGATCTTGTTGCTGCAATTACAGACAAAGACAAAACAATCTGTGCCCTAAAGAAGCTTATGTTCTACTGGGTAGAAATTGCATGTAAACAGATAAGTACATTACAAGTATATTCTTCTCTGCCTTGATTTGTGGTAAGACTCAATGAACATTTTTAGCTTTTAGATCAAGCCCTTACCAATGTTCCCTATAATTTTTTTTAAGTTGTAAACAGATGACCATGTTACATGAACAATAAACAGAATCAGTGAACAGTTTTCAGTTAAATATAAATAAAATTTTCAATAGTTAATCAGAAACTCTTTTAATGATGCAAATGGTTATTAGTATACCCCATGGTAATTAAACATAAACTCCAGAGCCATTCACATAAATAAAAATCATTGGTATCATTTTTGTGCAGCTAAATGAATCCTTATTGGGGTCAGATTGGAGAAGGGAGCAGGAAGATTTCAAACTTCTGCACCAATATCCTGCCAGATGAAACTGTGAGACTGATCTATGTTCATCTCTTCCATCAGGTCTGAACTTAGAGCAAAGGCTCTGCCCTATTTTAATCCAAGCCAGTTTCAGGACCTAGTGCCTTTCCTGTCCAAGTCATCAATAAGGGAGAGTAAGCAAAACCAGTTATCCAAAGACTCCCAAAGCATCTGGATTGTGGGCATATCTTACTCAGACTTCAGGGAAGAAATGAAAGCGGAGCAGCTAAGCCTAGAAGCTCACTAGGAAGAAAAGACTTTATAAAGTATACGCACATATTTTATTGTTAGGATACCTGACCCTGACCCTGAGCCATAGCCCAGGGAAATTATTTTTCTTTTACTTCCAGATCTAAGGATGGAGAAACAGATTCCAGAGAGCTCTGTAACTTGCTAGCTGTGTTGAAGATAATAATAATATATCATCTTCATAGGTTGTTGTGAGAGGGTCAGATTAAAAAAAAACATAGGTGAAAATATGGTTTAAATCTTAGTTGTTATTGTTACTAATATATAGAAACTACTGGGACAGGCCACTCAAAGGAGCTATGAGGGTCATGGCAAAGTAGCATCAACTATGTTTCTAGCACAGCGTAAACATGTGGCTCATTCCGTGTTATTGTTTAGCACTAACAGCCTGGAAGTGGGGGGAAACATCAGGATTAATTTAAAGGATGGAGTTGTCATACCCCAGTCAAGGTGCTCTCTGTCTTCCTAGACATCAAAGTAGGTGTTCTAATCTTTGCAAGTCCCTCCTGATATGTAACCTGATCTTGAGGCACGGCTGGGTTGGACTTGTGGTAATGCATGACAAAAACTGTCATCATGCTGCAAACAGAATCTTTGCATTGGGAGATTTTATGTGCTTAATGGGAACATTCTCTCTCTCTCTCTCTCTCTCTCTCTCTCTCCCTCCCTCCCTCCCTCCCTCCAATTAAGTGAATTAAATGGGGCCTGTATATTTAATACCCAAACTAATTCATTTCCCAGAAGATAGCTAGATGGTATGGATTCCATGCTAGACTTGAAGTTAGGAATAACTGACTTTGGCAACTAGGTGGTAAAATGAATACTGTTGGGCTTGGAGCCAGGAAGATCTGAGTTCAAATCCAGCCTCAGACTCTAACTATGTGAACCTGAGCAAGTCACTTAACTTCAGCCTAGGTCTCCCCATCTGAAAAATGGGTATAAATTGCACCTATCTCATATGGTTGTTGTAAGAATAAAATGAGGTCATATTTGTAAGATGTTTGGCAAACCTTAAAGTATGATGTAAGTGCTACTATTGTTATTAACTACATCCTGCCTCAGATACACACTATCTCTGTGATCCTGAGCAAGTTAATTAACCTCTTTAAGTCTCAGTTTCCTCTTCTGTAAAATGTGGATAATAATAGCATCTTGCTCACAGGTTTGTTATGAGGAGCAATCATTCCATCAACAAACTTTTATTAAGCACCTGCTCTGTGCCAGATACTGTGCTGAGCACTGGAGATGCAAAGAAAGGCAAAAGACAGTCCTTGCTCTCAAGGAACTCACAGTTTCCACGCATGATCAAATGAAGTAACATGTAAAACACTTTGCAAACCTTAAAGTACTCTATAAGTATTGGCTATTAGCATCATCATCTTCATCTTCATCTGCCTCAGAGGAGGTCTCTTCAGAGACCTTCATGGCTCCTACATTGGGACTTGAAGCAAGAAGGACTTTTGACATGTGGAGAGGAGGAAATATTGTGCTCCAGGTGATGGGGACAGCATGTGTGAGTATAAGGAGGTGAGAGAGTAGGATGAAAGGCGGAATAACTCATGGTCTTGTTTCTACCAGCTCTGGATTCCCTTTGATAAAAATTAACACCATTCATTTGAAAATGTCTTTGCTATTTGGAAAATAATGATTTTATGTTTAGAGAGGAAACGGCAACGAGTGATTTACAATTTTAATTTAAAAAGTCATAATTTCATTAAATATTTATGAAGCATCTGCTATGTTCAAGGCACCTTTACTTTAGACACTGGGCATATAAAACAAAAATGAAATAATCCCTGACCTCAATGAACTTACATTCAATTAAAAATATGCAGGCCATAATATATTCAGCAAGAAAAGCTTACAAAATGTCTTTTCTTTAGGTTGCTGGAGAACTTGTTAATAAACTGCACCTTGAGGCTCACATTGAAAAACCAGTAAATACCTACAGTGGAGGAACGAAGAGAAAACTATCCACTGCTCTGGCTTTGGTGGGAAAACCTGAAATTCTCTTACTGGTAAGAAGTGTGAATATCATCAAACTGATATTCTTGAAACAGGACCCAAAATGGCTTTTCCATTTGAATTGCAATTCTGTGAAGTAGAAATGGCTATACCTCTTGTCTGGCTATATTTGCATACATAAATGAATTTCAGTTTTTAACTGTTTTACATATTGTCGTAGAGCAAACACTGGCCAAAAGTGAACCCTTAAATTGGTGAAACTGTTCAATACCCAATGTATCCCAGTTCCCTCTTTCTCCTCTTTTAAACCTCACATTCTTCTCCTTTTCTTGGCATGGTGTTTTTCCTTAGGCAGGAATACTACATGGTAAGATATAATATAGATACCCATTAAATATTTGTTCACTGCAGTGTTGTTTAATCCTGATATATTCCTAGTGCCATGTTTTCACTGAAGCTATACATTGTGCTTTTCTTCTCAAGTTTCCCTGAAATATTTGGTCTGGAGACCTCCATTTCCAGCCCCGCACTCCCACAAACATTCTAACTTTTATTATACTTAACTAGAAACATATAAAACACAATATGCAAAGACTCAGTTATTTATACAGAATATAAATGCTAAATTTCATTTAATTTTTTGCACCTTAATGAGAAAATGTTGGCTTTCTCTATGACTATTCTTTTCTAAGGCATTAAGAATACTATCATGGCACAAAGGAATTTAAAATGTTGCTAATCTGAATGCAGTTTCTTTAGTCAAGCGGATGCAGCTAAATCACATCAGTCAGCTAGTACTTGTCATTTGTGCATTATAATAACCAAACGTCAAATTTGATTGGTCTCAGTTTCCCAAATTAATTCAGGATAGTAAAGATCACCATGATAATTCAATGCAAGGGAAAATTCTTAGGGTTTTGCTCTCCTATGATTACAAGGTTCCCTTGACCATAATAAATGAGAGAATGGGAGGATAGAGCTCTTTCTAAGAAGAAGAAATTAAAAAACTCTTTATACAATTAAAAATTAGTATAGCTATAAATATACTCACAATGGCAGTTAAGAGAGTGGATAAATCTATTAGCTAAATATGATATTTTAGTAGACATTCCATAGTCTTAGTACTAAAAAGGGACTAAGGGGGCCAATGCTGTTATTTCAGTGTAGATATTCCTATTGTTGACTATGTTTTCAAATGTTCCTGGGAATAGATAAAATAACTTTTAGAGCTGGAAAGAACCTTAATACCTATTTAATCCAGACCACCCTCCAGTAATCCCTGTTTTAACATAAACCCATTGTATTCAGGCATCCAGTTTCTGCTTGGAAACCTCTGGGGGCAGGGAGCCTCTCAACAACCCTCATAGGATAATACCTTAGTATTTTGCACATAAATTGCAATTTTGACTATAGGACCACAGTTTCACTATGAGTTCATGCAATTCTCAGCTATAACAAATCATTGAACGCTTATTCTTAAGTGTATACATCTCTGGAGGGAGAAGTATGTAAAAGTGGGATCTTCTCAAGATCAAAACTTAGATCTGTCCTTTTAAAAGTTTGTACAGAATGAAAGACGTTCTGTAGGGTTAGGTGAGGACAACTGTTATGCCAATTTTCATAAAAAGTGAATACAGTGACATCTCTGAACTATAGGCCTAAAAGCTTGACTTGGATTTTTGGCAAAATTCTATAATGTATTATTAAAGAATGGTTGTCTAGGGGAAAACTATTTATGTAGTGTAGCCTGCATAGGTGAATCAAGAACAAGTCATCAAAATAGGAAAGTATAAGTCATGGCAGACTAATATCAATTTTTTTTCATAGCAGACTAGTCAATACAGGCGATACTGTGGTGTGAAAGAATTCACTTAGATCTTCTCTGTAGCCACTGGTAATGAGTTCAGGGTGGACTCCAAGAATGTTGGGGTGCTACCTGAAATGATGAGGAATAGATGTATGGGCCTAGTGTCCTGAAAGAATTCCCTCAGACAATCTCCAAGTCAAAGAAAGGCATTTGTTGGGGGTGTTGTACCAAAGCAGGTCTGCTCCACAAGAGGCAGAGCCCCAAAGTGCTCTACTCCATGTGGGAGGCAGAGCATAGGCTTCAGGCCCTGCTCCTCTAAAAGAGAACAGTGGCTCCTGCTTCCAGTAGGAGGCAAAGGCGGCTAGCTAGGTCAAAGATATGGCTTAAATACAATTTTATGGAATGGGGGAAGAGGATAAGAGAATGAGAGGAACAAGATGACTCCAAAATGTCTGGGATATCAGGTAGTTTGGAGGTGATAAGCAAAGAGAACAGAAAAGGGGAGGGGAAGAATTGATCTGGAATTGAGGGTGCTTTGTGAAAGCACACAGGTAAGTCCATGGTGGGGGCTTCAATGCATAGTCTTCTTTGATCACTTTTCTGGCTGGTCACATCCTGCATTTTATCTCCTGTCTCAGGTCCTGCTTGCTCCATCTACCTCAAGCACTATTTTCTACCTCATCACTGTACATTTTTTGAAGGCATACATGGCATACTTACGAAATTTGCAAATGATGAAAAGCTGGGATAGATAGCCAGTGCACTAGATAGGAAATTCTATAAAATTCTTAGCAATCTAGCATGTTGAACCAAATCTAAAAAAACCTGAAATAATATGATCATACAGGTGAATTCATGGCACTTATTGACTCCTCTACCATCTCATACCTTAGGTAACAAATCTGAGGCTGCTTTTCTAACAAATTGTTTATCAGTAAATGCATACTGGCTCCAGAAACATTCATTTTTATGTTGTTCCTTTTTGGACTTCACGCAAAGACAGTTCTGTGCAAATGTACAGCTGGGCCCTGATTTGGAAATCCTGAAAAACAGTCCATCCTTGTTGTAATTGTTTTTTACAATTGTAATTATATCGATGCTCATATTATGTAAAATAACTCATTTAATAAAGTAGAATTTTGATTTTATAACATCACAGGATAAATGCTTTTAGAAGTTCTGGTCCACCTTTTTGCATCTGCCTTAAAATTGAATGAAGCCATCAGCTAGTAGTCCTATCACATTGTTTTAGGTAGACAGCTAAAGAAACAAAAGAAGAATTGATTAATTGCTGTCATAAACTTGATGAATATTTTAATTTTAGGATCAGTTAGTAAAACCCTTTAAGAATTATGTCATTCCCCTTTCTTCAGTTGTGCCTGTATTGGGTGCACCAATATTGAAAGCAACTTATGACAGTTTATGAGAAGGGGATTGCAAATTTAACAAAATAATCCTCTTCTTGCCAGCACTGACTTGGATACAAATTAAATTATTGGTTAAAAAACAGCTTACAAGTATTTGGTAAATAATTGAAGGAACTGAGTTTTCCTTCTGAAAAATAAGGTTCTAAAGTATTTGTCTGCCACAATGGAAAGGTGAAAAATGATTTGACCATTTTATGTAAGACTGTTTGGAAAATTTGTAACTCTAAACTGGTCTGTCTTCATTCTATAATATATAAGTTTCTTTTATGATTATTCTAGATAGTTTTTTTTTCATTTCACTTTTATTTGCTTTCTAATGTCACATTTACTCCCATGCCATGAGCTTTTGTTTCTTCAGTTTCTTCTGGGATATCTTTTTCTTTTGAGCAGCATCCTCTTCTGGTTTAGGAACAATTTGTTCCTTTTCAGTAAGTATCATCTCAATATGGCAAGGAGAACTCATGTATGGGTTGATCTGACCATGAGCTCTGTAAGTACGCCATCACATTTTGGGAGCCTTGTTAACCTGGATATGTTCAATGGCAAGAGAATCCACATCCAAACCCTTCAGTTCTGCATTACTCTCTGCATTTTTAAGCATATGCAGCAAGAATTCAGCACTCTTTTTGGGCCAACAACCCTGTGTCCAACCCCACTGCTTAGCCTCGGCCTACCTGCCAACCCCACCATTATATCGCCGAAGGGAACACATTGTTTCTTCAATGTGACGTCTTTCAAATACTTGGTAGCTTTTTGGCTATGCATGTCCTTGATAGCTTGGGCTGTTTCACGGGTATTCTTGAAGTGGACCCGGACTTGTGTGATTTTGTGGGGTTCTCTGGATCAAGAGAGTATCTCACCATTTTAAATGATTACCTGGGATGGGTCAAGGAAAGAGCTATTCTAGATGGTTTTAAATGGAATGTTAAGATTCTGAAAGAAGATTATTTTAAATGTTCGTCAAAATATTTGGAAAGTGAATTAGTTTAAATGGACCAGTTTTGTGATTAGCAAATGTCATTAACAGAAGAATGGAATGGTATACTTGAGCTTACCCATAGAAGTGCCATTGGATTTAAGAGTATATTTTAGTCTTATTTTTAAACTCTTAAAGGATTTTACATTGGATTTGGGTTAAGGATATTAGAAAAGTTTTACACCCACATATTTATTATGTTATTTGTCCTTTGTTCTTGACGAGGACCATGACATCAGGAAAGTGATACCATGACTTGTAAGCAAATTGGATTTAAGTAAAGGAGGGCTGTGCAAAGTCACCAACCTGAGTTTCTCCTCCAGAGCCGCCAGATAGTGATCAGGAGGACTGGAGATGGTGCAGGTGGACTTTTTAAGGCTAAGGTCTTTCCCAAGTATCAGTTTGATTGAGGCAACACCCATTCAGTGATTAAGGCTAGGTAAGAAATGAGGGAAAGAACGGCTCCTTGTATCTAGTACAAAAGAAAGAAAAACTATATATGAGGGGAAGACCCTTAGGGTTTCTGGCCAAAACAGAAACAGTTGCTATTTACATTCACTCTGAGCCATCAGAGCCTAAATCATGATCAGGTGATACTTGAGTTGGGACATATTGTTGGCCAATCAGTGAGAGCCAGAGTGATTTGGGTTTAAGGTGTGGTCCTTAAGAAAGAAATCTAGTCCATAAACCCCAAGATGTCTTGAGAGGTTTTAGAGATCAAAATTTACATTCCTTTGGGAAAAGTACCAACAGGTAAGGGTATTATACTCTATGTGAACAGAGAAAGAGGAAGGAGGAGAGGGAGGGGAGGGAAGGGCAAAGGCTGTGTTACCCAACTGGAAC